CCTAGACCAGAGCAGGCTTCAGGGCTGGGTCTGAGAATGCTGGAAAATTCAAATCTATTTGCAAACTTTGCGGCTCAGCCTTGTCATTTGCAAAGAAAGAAAATACCTGCCTTAGAAACACTGATTTTGCCGTTGACCTGCATATGGCTTCTGCAACCGGTTCCTGTATTGACTTCGCCTCAGAGTAGCAGATAAGGTGCTGGGGCAGCTGGACAAAGGTCTCTTCTCCCTCTTCCAGCTTAACTCTTTGCACACCAAGGTGCTGCCAAGCACCAGCCCATCACCGCAGCCATAGGAAGGGGGGGAGGATCCAGCCCCATGACGAGGGACGACCCAGTGTCCCCAGACGCTGGCCGGCAGCGAGAGGTGGCCCAGCGTGGACACCAGCAGCGCTGCCCCGATGCTGTCTGCTCTCCCAGAGCATCCCGTGCCTTCCTGACAGGTTTTGGGTCATCCTCTCCAGCTCTCCTCATTGCTCCAGCAAATACTGATTCCCTCAGGGAGCAGAAGTGACTGAGCAGCCGCAGGGAACAGTTTAGTCACTTGGACACCTTTTGCTTTCTGCCTCTTCCCTCACTCTCCCTCCCCTGCAAGCCTTGCCGCAAGGAACAGCCCATCCTCTCCTTTTCCACAAGAGCCTTTCCTCCGGACGTGACAGTCCCCAGCTTGTGTTTCATCATCTGCCAGCTGTAAGATCTTCCTCATAGTCACAGGGCACAAACCTCACGCTTTTTAACTCAGAATTGCTGACTCGGTGAAGCAATCCGGGTAAGATTGTAGCTGTGGTTGAGGGAGCTGCTGAGCAACGTCTTGGCCGTCACCTCCTGCACACCACGGCTCCCTCTGCCTCCCTCTGGAGCAAAGCTCATACCAGGAGCGCTGAGGAGAGCAGAAGCTTTAGGGAAATCCTTTTCCTTGTGAAATCAAACAAAAAGCCGGAGCCGGCGCTGAGGCCAGACTGGGCATCCTGATGGGTACAGCCCCTCCTGTCCCAAAGCAGAAGTGGCTGCGGGCATCGGCTGCAGCAGCACAACCGCAAACCCCATCTCCACCGGTGTGGAGAGGCATCGATCATCTGACCGGGTGAGCAACCTCCATCCCACCGGTCTTGGGGTGCGCACGTGGAGAGGACGGAGGGCAGAAGTAGCCAGCGGGGGAAGCTGGACAACAGAGCCTTGCTGCAAGGGCAAAGGTGAAGCAGCAAAATGAAAACAGACTGAAAAACAGGGATTAGGAGAGACTTACTCCAGAGAAACATCTGCCTTCTCCCTACCGCCAGTGAGAACTGGCTCAGGTGCTTCTGTCTCATCCCAGCTCCTCCCCTCATTTGCCCCGTGGGGGGAAAGAACAGATTTTTCTGGCTAGACAGGTCCCAAAATTACACCTGGGA